AGTAGTGACGGATTTATAAAATTTTAAGAGAAAATAAATTTATAAAATTTTAGGGGAAGCGATCACCCGCCACCCTCCTTCGCCTAAGTCCATTTCTGATTGTAAACAAGACGAGCAAAGTAATAAGCTATTTGAGTAAAATTCAATCAAAATTTGGTTAACATTCAATACGGTTCAGTGACGAATCTAGAAAAATATTATTGGTTGCGCCAATATAAATATAATAAAAATAAATCTAATATGAATATAACTTACATATATAATCTTTCAATTTAAAAATTTAATAACAATTAAAATTAGTATAACTAAATGTTTCAAAAAAAAACTTTAAATTTATGTAAAAAAAATACATAGTCCAAAAAGTATAATATTTCATTAATTAAGATGAACTCTCATTTTTATATAACCAAATTCATCTATGATCGAGACAAAAATTACTAAATAATTTTAATTGAATAAAATATGATAGGAGGAGTACTTTTTAAATTTTTGTTATAATCTTGTAGGTAATATTGAAAAGTTATTAAACAAACGGTTAATAACATCAAAAGTTTATAAGTAATTAAAGAATAAAATAAAGATAAAGCATAAAACTTCAAAAAAAATTAAGTAATAAAAAATCTGTAGAATAAAAACATAAAATCTCAATTAAGATATTCAATTACTTTCGGACTTAAAAAAATTCTTTGAATTTGAAAAACACATAGTAAAAATAAATACGAAAGAAATAATATCATATCATATAAGTTAGAAGAAGACAACTTTTATTTAAGATTTTGAAGAGGTAAAATTATATGTTTTTTTTAAATGCAACATAATTTTTTCATATATTTAAAGTTTAAGGTTCGAATTTGAACTTTTATTGAGTTAAGTCTAAAAATATTTCAAATTTAAATTTTCTTTTAATTGGAGTCAAATTTTAATATTTATTTCAAATCCAAATCAAATTAAATAATTTTAAATTTACGACCTTTCGAATTTAGTCAAATTCGATTTTGAACCTTCTAAGTCAAACTCCACTTGTCTTTTATCCAGTCCTGTAACGTGAATAGTAAAACGTACATCAAATATGGTAAAAATAAAACTATAATGAAAGTAAAATATGAACCTGAAGGTCAAGTGGAGCGAGGAAAGGAACAAAATCCGATAGATTAAAAGCTCCAGCTATGTTCACGACTTCTTCGATTAACGGCTTGAATTCGATTTGATCATCCATGGACCGTCCGAAAATAACCCTAGACATGATCACTTCGGTAACCTTACCGACCTGCTGGCTAAGGTCCACCGTCTTGCAGCCTTCCGCCGCCTTCCTCACCGATTCAACCAACGAGGCCACCTCTGGCTTCCTCACCGGTGCAAAAGATTCAACTCTCGAAGCGCTCACAAGATGCAAACTAAACCATTTCCGAACAGTTCGCCAATAGGGACCGTACTCGGAAAAAATCACCCCCTTGGGACCGTACGTCAAGTACTCGGAGGTTTGCAGTTTAGGTCTGCCAGCGAAAATGGCGTCGTGGGTCTTGAGGAAGAGCTCGGCGGCTTCAGGTGACGATACTACAATCGTCGGTACGTGGCCTAACAGTACGGACATTATGGGTCCGTATCTCTCGGCGAGATGGTGAAGAGTTTGGTGAGGGAGCTTTCCGATCATGTGGAGGTTACCGATTATCGGGAGGGGGAAAGGACCCGGTGGCGTTTTCCGGCCATTTTTGTGGCGGTTTCGTGACCGGAATAAGTAGAAAAAGGAACAGAGAGTTCCGAAGAGGATCAAGAGCAAAGCTAAAGTTGAAGAAGACATTTTGGACAATTCCGATGGCTGATGAATAGTCCCCAACTAGGTAGCTACTATATAGCAGAGCGATGGGATACGACAGAATCTGCATGTTCTTTTTAAAAAATAATTTTCACGTTTTTTTTCTTTTTGTCGCCAAACTAATTTGGAGAAACTATAATAATTTGACATAATCCAAATTAAATTTGACATATTCCAAAATTCAGCCCCAATATTTACTAAAATAATTATTTTAAATTTTTTATTTTGAAACATTTTAGTCCCAACATTTTAAAAGACACCTGATATTTAATCAAATAATAACTTTGACCATTTATTTCTTTGAAGTATTTTGATTCTCAACGTTCATTTTATGATAAAAGACATTCTTTTGGAGCGTTAATATTTATTAACTAATGATTTCTATCAATAGAAGGGCATTCTCCCCTCCAAAATGAAACGTTTGTGTCAATATTACTTCATTGATTAAATGAATGATTATTAGGTCATGAATATTACTTTACAATATTACTTCAGTGATTAAATGAATGATTATTAGGTCATGAATATTACTTTATAATCACCTCATCTTAATAAATAATAAAAATATATTTTTTTCTCTCCATAAATTTTATTTATTTTTATTATTTTTATTATTTTTACATTTGACTATTTGAAATATTCATATTGGTTTAGGGTTTAGAGTCTTTGTCGTCGCTAGGCCTAATCCGGACGACGCACCGGTTATCACCACGTTACCCTTTCGCAAGGTCTTCTTTCCTTGTGGTGCTGCCTGATCAACCGCTGGAGTTGTGGTAGTCGTTTGTGCTCGAACAATTCCAGCAGGGACTTCCTTTTTCCTAAGTTCCTATAGTTCATTCGACGTACCAGATATGAAAAACTATTGACAAATTCACAATCTTTACAAAAAAACCAACATTTTATCTACCATTTTCAGTATGAAAACCATAAAATAGAAAGATATTTGGATGTTTCAGCAAGGGCTTCCTTTTTCCTAAGTTCCTATACTTCATTCAACGTACTAGTTATGAAAATCTATGACAGAGTCGCTATCTTTAGAGAAAAAATATAACTTTTTATCTACCATTTTCATTTTTCAGTATGAAAACTATGGAATTGAAAGATATTTGGATGGTTCACCTGAGTTAAAGGCTGAGGGAAGCTGAAATGGGTAGAGAATGAAACGCCAAAGAGTGTTGGGGACATCCTACTATCTTACCTCCCCTTACCCCATTACATATGGAAACAAGGGACATCCATTTTTTTAGTGTAATAATTGTTATTTGGTTGGATGGTGAACGGAGACGGGGACAGATAAGGTTGGTTCTTGATGGCAATATGCCATGTCAGCTTCCATTATCCAATGGGATTTGCTTTGATTTCTCTTCCAAGCTTTTTCATTTCTCCATAAACAGTGAGTTTCTGGGCCTTTTCGGCCTGCAACAATCCAGTCCAAAGGGATAATATGTGTCTTGATGGAAAATTACATATGGAAACAAGGGACATCCATTTTTTTAGTGTAATAATTGTTATTTGGTTGGATGGTGAACGGAGACGGGGACAGATAAGGTTGGTTCTTGATGGCAATATGCCATGTCAGCTTCCATTATCCAATGGGATTTGCTTTGATTTCTCTTCCAAGCTTTTTCATTTCTCCATAAACAGTGAGTTTCTGGGCCTTTTCGGCCTGCAACAATCCAGTCCAAAGGGATAATATGTGTCTTGATGGAAAATTACATTGATGAACGGAGAATATCAACTTTTATTATTAAATCAGTGAGAATTTACCTTTTAAATAATGTTAATTAAATCACTCAAATGTGATGTGATCGTTAAAAAATGAAGTATCAATACGGGTTGGTTTAAGTGATAAATAATTTGATATCGTTTAAATAATATATCGAGGTCAAGTCATTGTGTATGCAAAAAATTTCTGCTAGAAGATATATCCACCGAAGTCAGGTATGCAACACGATTCGATCCAGATTAGTTAAGTCAAACTTTTTAAACCGGAAGGAAAACAAAAAAATAATATTATTATCTATATAATATTTGTTACTTACACGTTTGATCATTTTTTTATTCCTTCAATTATTCATTTGTATTAAGTTCATTTTTAGTCAAATTTTAATTATATATTCCTCAACTATTTTAGAATATATGTGTACCTTCAAAGTATTCTTTTGACGAATAATGTTTTTTAAAATTTAGTCCAACAATTTTATATTTATTCAACTTAGTCTTCTGATTACAACTCTTTTTATTTTCTTTCTTTCATTAATTTCTTAACTCTTTTATACTTAAATCAATACTTTATTATCAAAATCTCTTTTTTTATAAATATTATCAATATATTATATAAATTTTGTTATACCTCCCCCCTTTGATTCCATTAAAGTTTCTATAAGTATCTAACAAGTTACATTAATCAATTTTTTGAATCACCGATTGCAACTCTTCACTCAAATTAGAATAAGCGAAATATTTACAGCTTCACTAGATTAATTCTAATCAGAATCACCGATTACAACTCTTCACTCAAATTAGAATAAGCGAATTATTTGCAACTTCATTTTTCTCATTACAAATTTTAAATGGTATTTAATTTATTAAACAATATTATAAATTTTACTTATATATGTGATAAAAATTATGAAGAAATATATAATTATATAGGGCAATTTAAATCAATCAATATCATACTATAATAAATATTTAAAATTTATTTAAATTTTTAAAAAATATATTCAATTTAATTTGATTAACTTAATTAAAAAATTAAGTAAAATCTAAATGTATTTATTAAATTAACTACTATATATTTTTCATTTGATTTAACTCGACAATCAATTCCTCATGTCTATGTATTGGGTTTATGTCTGCGTTGCGTCCTGGTTAGCCCACGACTAGTTTAAGTCTATGGTAAAGTCTATTTAATAATATTAATTTAATGGATTTATATTTAGTTTTATTTTATACTTATTTTTTATAACTACATGCATCTAACCTATTAATCAATTAATTCTAATCAATGGCGGCGCACGATAAAAATATTCTCTGGGCGCACGATAGCGTCTGAAAACTCTTCTGCGTCGCTGGTGAAACAATCGTCTTTCCCTGCAAGCCTCATCTGTTTCTCTATTCTTTCCTTAAACAAACATCGGTTTCGTTCCCCTGATGGAGTGGAGGAAACTCTTTGGATGCTCAGATGGACAAGAACTGGAATTCTTCTCCCCGTCCTACCCAGAAGGGATTCCAACAGTTAATCCAACGCCTGAAGTCCTTGATGCTGGAATCTCCGGATAGAAGCTCTCATTGGTGGGTCAATTCCTCGGGTCTGCTCCAAACCTTGTCACAATGCAAAGGCTCGCAAACATTCTTTGGACAAGCGCTATTCAAGGCTCTCGTGTCCAGGTTAGTAAGGCAGGAAGAAATACCTTTATCTTTTCTTTCAACAATGAAACTGCTAGAGATTGAGTCTTAGATAATGGTCCTTGGCACATCCTAAATAAGCCAATGATACTTAGAAAATGGGAACCGAACCTCACGAGGCTTAATTTCGATATGTCAAAAATTCCAGTTTGGGTAAAACTCTTCAACGTGCCTTTGGAACTTTATACCAGAACTGGACTAAGTTATCTTGCCAGTGCAATCGGGAATCCTATCTCTTTAGACTCGATTACTGCTTCAAAAACAAGACTGGAATATGCTAGAATCTGTGTCGAAATTGGGATTACTGATGAAATCCCCAAATTCGTAAACGTTATTCTCAAAGATGGGAGATCGACTTCTATTTCTGTTAAAGTGCCGTGGCTACCTCTCAGCTGTAAAAAATGTAAAGTTTATGGGCACTCAGAGAAAAAATGCTTCTCAAATGCAGCACCGGTCATGTCTCAAGTTTGGATCAAAAAGAGAGCACTCAGTCCTAACTCAAAGACCTCAACTTCACGTCAAAATGAAGCTTTGCAAGATCCAATCGAACATGCTACAATGGTGCAAAACAAAAAAGAAGTAGGCCCTCAAAATGTTCCAGTGCCTACCAAAACAACTCCTATTGTTGAGGAAAATCACACGAACGTAGTTCAAACACAAACAAATTCTAATCCTGAAGGTATTCAAGACAATCACTTTCCAACCCTTAAAGTTTCAATTATTGAGGATGAACCTACTACTCCAGATGATACAGGCATCAACTTTTCCATCTCCAAAAAATGAGAGAAAGGCAGACCAGTTAAGGACAACTCAAAATTTGTCTTAGCTGGATCAAAAAACAAATTTGACATCCTCAATTCAATAGACGAACATTCTTCTGTCACAGAGGATCAAACCAGAAAAATTCGTACTGCTTCATTAGGCGTTTCAGCTCTGCTCAATGATCTCAAAAAGAAAAAGAAACAATACTTAGAAAGAGCAAGGAGTTCAACAGTAGATGGATTTGGGGGTGCTTCCAGCTCTCCTGCTCAATGAATATCAGCTTTTGGAATGTAAGAGGACTGAATAGTCCTCTAAAACAGGACAAAGTTCTTCAAAGGGCTTACCAACATAAAGTCGATGTCATTTGCCTACTGGAAACACGTGTCAAAGTAGAGAAGACAGTGGGCTTATTTGAAACAAAATTTGCAAAATGGAATGTTTGTACCAATTACGATTTTGCTATTAATGAGAGGATTTGGTTTTTCTGGAAAAAAGATTTGGACCTATCAATCTGTGATATTTCTGCACAATGCGTTTTTGTCAAAGGATCCTACCAAGGAAACCCTCTTATTATTGCAGCAGTCTACGAAAGCAATGATGGAACTGCTCGAAAACATCTCTGGGGTCATCTGCGAGAACTAGAAAGGAGCTATGGCCATTTATCTTGGATTTTGGGAGGATACTACAATATTATACTGCACCCTAATGAAAGTTCAGAGCATGATCTTCTGGGCCCAATCTTCTCTCCTGAAATGAAAGAATTCAAATAATGCGCTCAAGACTTAGCACTTCAGGATCACCCATTTTTTGGACCACTGTTTACTTGGAGCAACAAACAACAAACCTCTTTCCTTGCAAGGAAACTTGATAGGATTCTTATCAATACTACATGGGTGAAAAGTTTTCCAAATTCATTTGTTGAATTCCTTGCTCCGGGTCCCTCTGATCATTGTATGGCCTTTGTTTGTCTCAACAAAGAAATTCAGGCAAATGAACGAAGCCATTCAAATTCTTTAATTTTTGCGCTCTTCATCCCAATTATTTGGAAGAGGTACGACATTCCTGGCAACCAACTATTCAGGGTAACCCTATGCATGTTCTCTTTCACAAACTCAAACGCCTCAAATCATGCTTAAGGAAACTCAACAAGGAATGCTACAGTGACATAACAATTCGAGTTAAGCATAAACGGAAGGAGATGAAACAACATCAACTTTCTACTCTCAGAGGTGAAAACAACTGCGAGAAAGAGATTATCTTACAAAAAGAGTTAACATCTCTAGAAGAGGCTGAGCTTATGTTCTTAAAGCAAAAAGCCAAAACTCAATGGATAAGGGAAGGTGACAAATGCTCTAAATTTTTTCATTCAGCTGTGGCAGTCAAACACAAGCGCGACACAATCAGGGTGCTTGTTGACGAACAAGGAAGAAGACTTTAATCCTTTGACATGATGGCCTCTGAGGTGACTACATTCTTCTCCAAACTTCTGGGTATTTCAAATCCCAATGTATCCGAGAGCAATCCCACTCTACTTAAAAGCCTGCTGCAATTTACGTTGCCCCCTGAAGCTTCATCTGATTTAACTAAGAAAGTATCAAAAGAGGAGATTAAGGAAGCCATTTTCAGTTAAGGTAACGACAAAGCCCCTGGCCCGGATGGATTCACACCTTACTTTTTCAAAAAATCATGGGATGTGATTGGATACGATGTGGTAGACGCAATAAAATACTTCTTCCAACAAACATACTTGCTCCCAGCTTTCAATGTTACCACAATTGCCTTGGTTCTTAAAGTGCCAAACCCAAGCAAGGTCAAAGACTTCCGGCCAATTTAATGTTGATATGTTGTTTATAAGACAATTACTAAGATATTAGTAAAAAGACTGACCAATCTACTTCCAGGGATGATTACAAAGGTAGAAGTATCGTAGACAATACTCTCCTTGCACAGAAAATGGTGAAAGGCTATGGAAGGAAATCAATTTCCCCAGATGTTCTTTGAAGATTGACCTTCAAAAGGCCTTCGACACTCTTCACTGGGGCTTCATTTCTTCAGTTCTAAAAGCTATACAGCTACCAAAAACCTTCATTGACTGGATTGAAGCTTGTTTCTCAAATGCAAGATACTCCATCTCCTTCAACGGAAGCCTGATTGGATACTTCAAGGGTGAAAGAGGTATAAGGAAAGGTGACCCACTATCCTCTTTCTTATTCGTCCTCGCAATGAATGTGTTGTCTAAAATTCTCAATTTGGCTACTGCGAGAGGTATGTTTGGCTTCCATCCTAAATGTAAGAAGATAGGGCTCACTCTCTTAATGTTTGCGGATGATCTTCTAATCTTCTGCAAAAGAAATTTGGAATTGGTTGTCGGAGTCACTACTGTTTTAGACAAATTCTATGAAATGTCTGGCCTAAAGCTAAATGCGGCCAAATGCGAATTCTACGCAGTTAGTGTTTCTTCTAATATCATGGAGTTCATTAACAAAACTACGGGGTTCAAGCAAGGATGTCTTCCTATGAGATACCTAGGAGTCCCTTTGGTCACTAGGAAACTCTCTGAAAAGGACCGTGTCGTTCTCATTAATAATATCAAGTCCAGGCTTTACCACTGGTCAAGTAAACTCTTGTCTTATACAGGTAGACTTGAACTTATAAGAGCAGTCTTGTTCAGTATTGCTAACTACTGGTGCATACAACTCTTTCTACCTCAATCCATTATTAAAAAGATTGAACAACTCAGTTCTCGCTTTTTTTGGAAAGGTTCAGATAAAGCGGCTACTGGAGCTCGAGTAAGCTAGGGAACGATATGCCAACCAAAACTTGAAGGAGGACTTGGTTTAAAGGACTTAAAAACGTGGAATAAGGCGTGTATGATCCAGCTTATTCGTATTATCCTAGCAGGTGAAGGCTCATTGTGGGTTGCTTGGCTAAACAACTACGTCCTCAACGATAAAGACTTCTGGCACATTGATAGCGGCACTAATACCAGCTGGACCTTCAAAAAATTACTAAAACTAAGGAGTGAAGCCAATGCTGTTTTCTCAACCGGAGCAATATTTGTTCGTGCAATTTGGGAAGAGACTAGGGTTAAGAGAGACAAAGTTCACTGGAGTAATCTGATTTGGTTTCCCCTCCACATTCCTAAACACAGCATGATCGCTTGGATGGCTACAGACTTCCTACTAAAGTTAGATTACAACATATGGGTATTGCTACTGATGATTTATGTGTTTTATATAAAGAAGCACAGGAAACAAGAGATCACTTGTTCATGGAATGCCCACTAACAAGCTCTTTATGGAAGGAAATCTTACTACTAACCGGCTTGCGGAAATCTTCATTGTTCTGGGATCATCAAATGTCCTGGGCATGTGGTTCCTGGACAGGTAACTCCCTCCTAATAAATATTTTGAAGCTTGCATGAACTGCATTTATTTATTCTCTTTGGGAAGAAAGAAACAAAAGGCTATTTCGAAGAAGCTCAAGAACTGTTGATGAAATCCTTAAAGCTATTAAGGAGTTTGTTAGAATTCAACTAAGAGATAGGATAATCAATAGAATAGATGGAGTTATTATCTCTCTTTGTATCCAATGGGGTATTGACTAACCTTAATGTTGGTTGTTCATGCTCTACTTTGGTTGTTTTAATGTTTGAAACTGTTTTGATGCCTATACTGTATTTGTATCTGTTTTGATGTATGTTATGTAGCAGTTTACTACTCCCTTTTGGGTAATAATATTCTTTTATTTATCCAAAAAAAGTTCACGATCACTTATTTCAATCACCGATTAACGATAATAAAAATTGTAATAGATCAATTTATGAAAAAAAAATATAAAGTTAAATAAGCCATCTTTCTTTTAAAATTGAAGCCAGACCAAAATTACAGGATATAAAAAGGGTAATTTTCATGCTTAGGACCTAAACGATTAGTTTTAGTCCATTTTAGTATCTAAGCTTTCAATTTTTTCAAAATCATATATAATGTTTAGTTTTTGATTCATTTTAGTACCCCACCGTTAAAAATTTAACCAAACTATTACAACTTGACAATTTTATGGTTAATTCACATCATTTATCCCTAACTATCTTCTCACTCATGTTTTGGTCATTGAAGTGTTTTTTAATTTAATTACTTAAGTTTCAAATTATTCCTTAACTTTCAAATTCAAAATTTTTATTTTAATTATATATTAATAAAATAATAAAAATGTCATGTCACAAAATATTATTAATAAAATAAATTAGAGTGATTAAAACATAGGCAATTTGAAGATTGAGAATTTAAATTGAAATTTTTTAAACTTTAATGACCAAAATAGGAGTGAGAAGATATTTAAGGGATAAATTCTGTAATTTAACCATGAAAAATGTCACGTGCAAAAGTTTCGTTAAATTTTTAACGGTGAGGTACTAAAATGAAACACAAATTAAACGTTAAATGTGATTTTATAAAAATTAAAAGTTTAGATATTAAAACGGACCAAAACTAATAATTTAAATAATAAATACGTAATTTGCCCATAAAAAATACTGATAAAACCAACAGATTATTTTATTGCCCGATTTTGAAATCGACTATTTTATAATTAGGGATGAACCAATAAGGTATGTAGGAACAATCGTTTCTTCCTAAAATTTTAAAATTACCATATATTTAGTTTTTTTCTTTATATTTTCTATTAAAAATATATTTTCACCTAATAGAATTTTATAATTTCAAATTCATCCTCTAAAATTTTAAAATTTTAAGTTCACCCCTTTAACATAAATTTCTGTCTCAGTCTCTAAGATAAACCCTCAAATCATTTTATGTCATGTGCCCAGATAAGTTGTGGAATCATGGGGCTTCCCATTGTCGTACTATCATGGTCTGGCCATGATTAAAAATGTTATTGCTGTACAATTATGGCAGGGCTATGATACCGATAACGAAGTAATAGAATATAGCAATTACACTTTAAAGTGATAATTTACGGAATGATAATGTTAAAAAGAAATAATTTTGAATTTTTAATATTTATGATAAAATTTACATAAAAATTTAGACGAAATCAAATATTTAATTTGAACTTAGTTACATGGCTCGTACAGAATACATTTCATAAATGAAATTTTAATTTTATTTTTTTTGTTACAAGAGGAAATTAAAAGAAAGCAGAAAACATAACTAACTCAAGCAATCTTATGACCTCTTGGGAAGGAGACTCCCATGAAATCCGCTTTAAGAAAATGAACAATTTCCATCGATGGATTTTCATAAACAATGAGC